TGATGGGGTGGGTTTTATGGCATCAATTTATTTCGGGAACTGAATAACAACACTTGTCATCTCAAGACCAGTTTCTTTGGCAAGCAATGTACGGCTAGGCAAAGGCAGTCCTCTCCATTTCCTCAGCAGATCGACCAAGCTGTGGGGAGAGGAGACACATTCAGCCAGGCACCACTGGGTGCTGGATCCTCAATCTCCTCTTTACCCACCAAGTGTCTGTTAGGTGGCTTTCCCTTCACCCCCTCCCCTGGTTCTTGTCATGCAGGCAGAAATCAGGAGACCAGACGTCCGAAATGCAGGCAGTGCAATGTTCATTGGGGTTAGTTTCCAGCAGGCATCTCCATAGCTCTACACGCCAGGAGAGTCTGTTTCCCAGTGTTCTGTTCCCAGATCTGACACCACAGAACATTTATCCACGTCCCCCTTCACCACTCCTCTTTCTTAGCAGGCCCAAATATACCTGCAGTGCACTCCTTGGACTCACCTGCTGTAGAATTTTAAGGGCAGCCTTAGCCTGAGAGTGAGACCAGGCCAGGCTCCAGATTGCACCAGTGATGCTCAGGCACTAAAACTGCAGCAGCCACAACTCTGGCTTTTCTGTAATTAGCAGACTTCAAACCCGTGCACAGAGACCCCAAGGGATTGCTAGTACATCACCTTAACCACTCAGTCACAACTATTTCATTCACAGCTATCTCTCACCATACCATAGCTATGTTCTCACTGAACTATCACTTCCAATTGTTTGCTCAGACCAGCTTCCACAATACACTCACTTGTGTAAGTGTGTCCATGGCTGAACAGCAAGAGTTCCTGCCCAAGGAGTAATGGATCTAGGGGTTATAGTGGACCACAAGCTAAATATGAGTCAACAGTGTGATGCTGTTGCAAAAAAAGCAAATGTGATTCTGGGATGCATTAACAGGTGTGTTGTGAGCAAGACACGAGAAGTCATTCTTCCGTGCTGGTTACGCCTCAACTGGAGTATTGTGTCCAGTTCTGAGCACTGCATTTCAAGAAAGATGTGGAGAAATTGGAGAGGGTCTAGAGAAGAACAACAAGAATGATTAAAGGTCTTAAGAACATGACCTATGAAGGAAGGCTGAAAGAATTGGGTTTGTTTAGTTTGGAAAAGAGAAGAGTGAGAGGGGACCTGATAGCAGTTTTCAGGTATCTAAAAGGGTGTCATAAAGAGGTGGGAGAAAACTTGTTCATCCTAGCCTCTAAGGATAGAACAAGAAGCAATGGGCTTAAACTGCAGCAAGGGAGGTTTAGGTTGGACATTAGGAAAAAGTTCCTAACTGTCAGGGTTGTTAAACACTGGAATAAATTGCCTAGGGAGGCTGTGGAATCTCCATCTCTGGAGATATTTAAGGTTAGATAAATGTCTATCAGGGATGGTCTAGACAATATTTGGTCCTGCCATGAAGGCAGGGGACTGGAATCGATGACCTCTCAAAGTCCCTTCCAGTCCTAGAATCTATGAATCTATGTATAAATTGCAGTGGAGGAGGTTTAGGTTGAATATTAGGAAAAACTTTTTCACTAGGAGGGTGGTGAAGCACTGGAATGGGTTCCCTAGGGAGGTGGTGGAATCTCCTTCCTTAGAGGTTTTTAAGGTCAGGCTTGACAAAGCCCTGGCTGGGATGATTTCGTTGGGAATTGGTCCTGCTTTGAGCAGGGGGTTGGACTAGATACCTCCTGAGGTCCCTTCCAACCCTGATATTCTATGATTTTATGATTTCCCTTCGGTCTGGAGCATGATTTGAGTGTGTCTGTGGTTAGTGATATTGCTGTAGATTGTTCATTCCCTGCCATGATGATTCAGACAGTCCCTTTCCCAGTCATATCTCCAGCACATCAGTGATTCCAATAGGGCCGTCTCTGCACTACAGAGTTTTGTCGACAGTCAGAAAGCGCTATAAGAAAATCGGTTTTGCATGTTCACATGACGCTCCTGCGATCGGCAGCTTTTGGCAGGTGAACACCCTGCAATGCCACGTCTGGCGACAAAACTGTCCTGGTTTGGTGACAAAATAAAACCACCTCGACGAGAGGCTGAGAGCTTTTTGTGGCAAACTTAAAGCAAGAAAGTATCAGTGTAGACGCTGCTGGTTATTATATCACCATAACTGGCCTCCACCAGTATCCCACATGCCCGCCGTGAGCTGGCTGCCCTGCATTCCTGCTACAGAGGCTGGGCCCCTCCCCGTCCATCGCGCCGGGAAGCTCTGACAGCTGAGCCTGCTGCCCTGCTCCGGCATCCAGGAGCAAATCACTGCCGTGGAATGCGGCTCCCCCGCACTGCAAACACAGAGCCGGGGCAGGAGCTTCCTTACAGTGGGGGGGCCCCCGGCGTCTGAACTGCGGCCCCACCCTCTCACAACGCCCCTTTCCCCAAGGCCCCTCACTCACTCCACCCCTTCTCCCTGAGACCCCACCCCTCCCCTCCCCCAAGGCCACACCCACAGAACGCCTCTTCCCCCCAAGACTCCGCTTTGTCCCCCCTTCCGTCATTCATCCTTACAGCTGCTAAAAAGTGGTTGGGGCATGGCCCTCTAACCTCCCATTTCCAGCACCCGAGAGCTAGGCAGGCAGCAGCGTGTGAGAGAGAGAGAGAGAGAGAGAGACTGCTGTGCTGTGCTGTGCTGAGCTGTGCCATTGAGGGAAGCGGGGGCTGATGTCGGGGCTGTCCCCCTCCCCTGCCTGGTTGCTTCCAGCAGCTGTCTGAACGTAGAGACAGCGTGCCGACACACTCCCTCTTCCCCAGCACCCACATGGTCTCTGCCCCGTCATGCACACTGCAGTTGAAAAGCAGCTGCAATCTAGTAGGAGGCCCATGGAACAATGGGATAGAGAAACCTGTATCATGTGATGCTGTACCGGCCCATGAGGCATTGCAAACCTTTCTCAAAGCACCCTGCGGCCAGTTGCACAGCAGGATAGCTACCCACAGTGCACTGCTCTCTGTGGCAATGCAAGAGCTGCTAGCATGGATATGCTCTGGTGACACAAGAAGAAGAGTGTGGACTTGCAACAGCGGTTTAATTAAGACACTGTAACTAGAGTGGCATAGCTCTGTGGTGTAGACATAGCCTGACAGTGAGACAAGACCTAGCTCCCGTTAACAGCAAAGATGCTCAGGCACTGAAACTAAAGAACCACCAGTTCCTCTGTAGCTGGAAGGATTTGAACCTGTGTGGGGCGACCCCAATTGATTTCTAGTCCATTGCCTTAACCACTCAGCCACAACTACCTGCTTTAGGCATATTTTTCACTACACTCTAGTTCTGTTCTCACTGATCATTTCCAATTGTTTCCTCAGACCAGGTTCCACAACACACCGTGCCATTGTGTACGGGTGTTCATGGCTGAACAGCGAGAATTCCTGCCCATTTCCTTTCCGGCTGGAGCAGGATGAGAGTGTGTTTGTGTTAATGACGTTGCTGTAGATTGTTGTCCATGTCCTGCCTTGATAATTCAGACAGTCCCTTTCCCGTCATATCGCCAGCACATCAGTGATTGCAATAGCAGCAGCAGGTTTTCGCTGAGGCACTGAGCTTTGCCAGGGGTTGGTGGCTCCTTTCTTTCCTCACCATGGAGTAAACTCAGCTTTTTATTCCACCCTTCATGTTTCATGGACTAACAACAGCAGCAGAAAGAAAGAGCCGAGCCAATATCTCCCTGGCAGGGATGCAGGTGCCACGTCCCCTCTGTCTGACCATCGCCATTGCAGGAGAGAAGGTTCACTGGAATCGAATGCCCTGGCTCAGACCAGAGACACAGGGAGGTTTTTTGCTGTTCATGGATCTGTGCAAAGGAAATTGTGTTTCTGTGTGAAACTAGGGACGGAAATGAAACGCCCACAGGGTGGCGCTATGCCCTACTGCAGTGGTTTTCAAACTGCGGGTCGTGACCCAGTCCTGGGTTGCGGAATGGAAACCACTGGGTCGCAGCGGTTCTGGTCAGCACCGTCAACCAGGCCATTAAAAGTCCGGTCGGCGGCGCTGCCCGGCTAAGGCAGGCTAGTCCCTACCTGTTCTGACACCGTGCTGCGAATGGGAGCTGGGGGGCGGTGCCTGTGGGCAAGAGCCGCGCGGAGCCGCTTGTGCACGTCCACCTAGAAGCTGGACCTGCTCCTGGCCGCTTC